ATACCAGCACATATATAGACTTCATTTATCACATATTGGCACACATAAGATTCATGTATCTTCATCCTGGCTCAACCAAGGCATCCCGGCTCAATCGAGGCATCCAGCTTCATGCTAGGCATCCTGGCTCAACCGAAGCATCCCGGCTCAACCGAGGCATCCCGGGGATAGCTCACCCGAAGCATCCGGGCTCAACCCAGGCATCCTAACTCAACTAGGGCATCCCGGTGCTAGTTTACCGAGGCATCGCCGCCAATGTTATGTGACGGCGGTTTTCTTCTTTTATTTAGTGATCACACAACATGGGTCACACAAGCCGGTTTATTAACTTGATTTCATTAGTCCATGCAATCAAGCCCAAAGGCATGCCGTGCTTGTGTAATCATGATCTCTAGAACGTTCGCCTAGCATGCGAGTCTCAGTCGAGGGCACGTGGTTCGGTCCGCCATGCCGAGCGCCGGCTCGGAGCCGAACTTGGCCTGGATCTATACATCCCAATGTAAACCCGTACCAAGCCGAACTCGTCCCGTGATGCCATAACATGAGTATGAGACCATATAATACCCCGTTTCGTGACTCGCATGTGCCTTGACTTACGATTATGAAGCAAAACAAGAAGCATTCATGCAACCATCGAGCATCACAGACATGGTCACTACTCGAGCCAAACTCGTAACACCATGTCCTATCCTCTTATAAATCAACAAGTATGGATGAGAACATCGAGCATGGTAACAAGCGATGCGTGTAACATCGAGACAAACAACAACACGCAAGTCTCAATAAAGGCTAGGGTGAGAACTCAAGCCAACAACGCATTATAACTTCCCATCCCGAGATTAGGGAATCCACTTACATGCCGCTTTCCAACCACGTAACACACCGCCCTATCCAAGTGTTAGGGAATTCACTCACCTATAATCACAAGAAAACGTCTACGGCGGTTAGCGGTAGCAAATGGCGAGAGAGAGAGAGAAGTGTTTGGCGTGAGGGTGAGAGATGAGAGAGAGGCGAGGAAGTGGTGTGACAAGGGGGGAAACTAAGCCTATTTATAGGCAAGCCAACTTGTTCCCCAAGCTTAATCATGAAGAAAAGCCAAATGACATTAATGAAATAGCCCCTAAAGTCAAGTGCCATCATGATCTAGATCTAGAAAATCTTGATTATTAATGACATTAATGGAGGAGAGCCAAATGACATTAATGAAATAGCCCTTATAGTCAACTACCATCATGATCTAGATCTAGAAAATCTTGATTATTAATGACATTAATGGAGGAGAGCCAAATGACATTAATGAAATAGCCCCTATAGTCAAGTGCCATCATGATCTAGATCTTGAAAATCTTGGTTATTAATAAAGAAGAGCCAAAAGACCAAAATGAAATGGCCTTGAAAGTCTTAGCCATTAATTTGGCTTCTTGAACAAGATTTAATTCTAGCCACATAATCTAAGCTTGGGCTCTAAGTTTCAATCTAGAGTTCATGATGACCTATAAGAGCAATTAAGATCCTAAAACTTGATCCTCAAGTTGCAATTGGCCCTAAAGTCTAAGCTTCATAATTAAGCTTCTTATGCAAGCCTTTAATTTGAGGCCATTCATTTCCAACTTGGCCTCTAAGTTTCTACTTTAGGATCATTATGCCCTATTCATTCAAGGCCTAAATAAAATCATGAGGATCTCTCTTTCTCTCTCTCTCTTTGGCCGTGAGCCATCTTGCTAGGCGTGAATGATGGTTTTGGTTCTCAAGACTCAATTATAGAAGCCTTCCAGAAGAACACATTTCAGCTTCTGCCACCACATGTAAAGCCTCATTCCCCCCTTCATATGACCTCCAATCAAAAGTGTAACATATCTCATTTGAAATATCAGAATGTGCACATTAAATCACCAGAAGACATCAAGTCGAGATTCCAACGTTCTCATATAGAAAATGATGAATCTTTGAAATCTGACAAAATTGACAGTTTTTGCACTGTTCTAGAAATCAGGCTTAAAAACATAGTAAATAAACTCCAAAAATTCCCAAATTTGAATATGTCATAAAAAAGACCTTAAAAAACATTTTATATTCAGAACATAAAATCTGAATCTTTCTGTAAATACAGATTTTAGTAGCTCAAAAATAGACTAAAATCGGTTTGCCGGAACAGAATCTTTACTTCTCAAAGTAAGCTCTTTTTTGAATCCAAATCATCTCCAAAAAAATTCCCAAATTTATATACGTTATAGTGAAAGAAGTTCTCAACAAATTTTGTGAAGGAAGTTTGTTCAAAATCGGCCCAGAAAAGTTTGTAGAAAATCGAGAAAGTGTGAACATCACAGAAATGCCTATTCTGGGCAGTTTTACACGATCTGAAAGTAGCTATCGTACTACTCATATTAAGTCCAAAAATTATGAAATTAAAGCATATAAAACGTCAAGATGTTTGGAGAAACTTTTAAGAAAGAAGTATTTGGAAATTCGGATCACAAAAGTTTTCACAAAAATAACAAAATGAAAGGGTTATAGAGGATCCGAAGCTGGATTTTCCATAACAAGAGTAAAATTGGCTCCGATTGCAAAACCACCAAATTTAAACAATAGCCATTTCACAGAGACTGAAATTGAGGATGTTACAAAGGTGGTCGGACCACCTGGGCCAGCCACTGAATAGAACCGGTCCAATTCAAACAAGTTCAAAATGCCGCGGGAAGAGAAGGAGAGACGTAGCACTCGGAGGCAGCTCCGGCGAGGCTCCGACCAGTAGGACGTCGAAGGAACGGAGACGGACGTCGGAGGGGGTGGTGGCGCTGGTGGTGTCGCCGGCAAGGACCTGCCGGTGAGAGGTGAACCGGCGGTTCTTTGAGAAAATCGCATGAGTGGTCTTTAGAGGAGAGAAAAGAGAGAGAGAACATGAAGGAGAGAGTGGGAAAAAGAGAGAGAAGAGAGAGAATTTTTTTTGTAAAATTGGCCCCCATTCTCAAATTTTGAAGGGAAAATGAGCTATACACTCCCCTCAAGATTCAATTTCGATCGTCGGTTTAATCTAACGGTCGAGATTGTGCTTATCCTTTACTTGGAGGTTAAGCAAAGACCTCACTTAACATGTGCTAATTTGAATTGCTATGATTTAATCTCATCAACGGTTTTGATTAATTTTGAAATTAAGAACCTAATTAGGGGTATTTTTGTAATTTCACAAAACCCGAGGACTTTTTTGCAAAATCTAAAAATTGGAGGGTATGGGGGAATTACTCAAAGGATGAGTCGCCGGTCGCCGGCGACCGGGAACCGGCCGGAGGAGGGCCGGCCGGTGACCGGTCGGACCAGTTTTGACCGATTCAATCGGTTCGGTTTTCTCCTTGGGTGGTTGAGTCTCAATTGTTCCAAATTTATGCAATTTAGTCTTTGAGGGCTAAATTGAAAGGACAGATTCGTCAATTTTGAGGAAAAAAATAGTCTAATTTGAAGAGAAACAGTCCGATTTTGATCCAATTAGGCCAATTAAACCAAACCTACAACTTTTATGGATTTAATTACCTAATTGGTCATGAAAAATATTGGACCCATGCCATAGGTGCGCCAAATTGGATTTTTCCTAAGCTAAATTAGACAATTTCATGCAATTTCTCGCCGAAATTTGCAAATTAATTGAAATCAAGTTCAATTAGACTTGCGAAATGCTTATTGAACCAATTGCCCATGCTTATAGTTACCTATTGCATTCAAATCAACATTGAATGGATGTGTGACCTTTATGTCAAAATTAAATTGAAGGCCAATGTTGAAATTGAACCTCAATTCATCAAATTAAACCTTAGTTCCGAATGGGTCGACTTGAATTTCATCAATTGGACATCATTAACCCCTAATCCCCAAATTCAAGTGAGCTAAATATGTAAAAGTGGAGAGTTCTCAAGTGAATTTCACAAAATTGACCCCGGATTCGTGTTTATCTCACAAAAACGAATCAAAGGAAACCAGCCATTCGCGAATCGTGACGAATTGATTCAAACCCTAATTAGGGCTAAAATTGGGGGTTTTCATTTCAAAGTGTCGATTCACAAAATTGGTCGCACGAGTAATCTTATGATGATCTCTGGATCAAATGTCGTAAAATGAACTAAGCTAAAATATGAACAAGATGAAAGTAATTTTGTTTTTGGCCGATTCCGAACCTATTTCCGCAAATTAGGAAAAAGTAGGTTCTTAATCAATTTTTGTAAATTTTCAAAGGCCAAAGTCAAATTGAATATAAAATAAGATGATTTTGGGATTTTTGTATTTTCCAATTTTTTGGTCAAAGGTTTGATCAAAAGTCAAACAATAGTTGAATTTTCACTAGGAATTTGATTTTATGACCAAATCTTTGAATTTTTATGAAATTTCCACTTCTAAAGTGAAATTAAACTTGAAATGAATCTTTTTATGTGAAAAGCCCCAATTTGATCCGGGGTTGACTTTAACTATTTGACTTTTCGGGTTTTTACCTGAAATGAACAGTAAACCGTCTACCGAAGCTAAGCCAAGAGACAGAATTAAAAAACGATAATTTTTGTTCAAGAAATGGATTCCGTTGCGATCGAAAATCCTAATCTTGAGTTTTCTGTTTTTTAATGACGCGTCGGCTAAAAATTAGGTTTCAATAAATACCGAATTTAATTACTCCAGCTTGTTGCGAAAATGGATGGTATTCGTGAATAAGAATAACCCAATCTCATATTGATCTTCGGACACTCTGCAATAGCTTACTATCTCATATTATTCTTTCGAAGTAGCGATTACAAACATCCATAGCTCCAGTGACCTAGATGTTTTATTTTGGTCGGATAGAAGTTCTATTTATCATCAATAAGTCTTAAGACAAAACGCCCAAAGAAGGGACTCAAAACAAAACAGGTCCCAAAGGGGTTGGGGGGGCTAGGACAACCAAGAAGAAGGAAGAGTATTCAATCTTCGGGCCTTAGCTATCCAATCAGCTACTTTGATTTGTGACTTCCACAATGGGCCAAGGTGATGTTGTTAAAATAGGCTAACTGGGCTTGAGCATCCAAGATGAGCGCCTCCACCTCCAACGGCACGTGAGTTTTTTCCTGCACGGCTTCAAAGAGATTCAAGCTGTTGGTCTCCAAGTACAGTACTTCGTTTCTTCTCGAACTGAAGTGCTTCAACGCCTCCACCGGAGCGAGGGTTTCCACCTGGATGGGCGAGGAAGCTGGGATTTTTTTAGCAAATCCGTCTATCAAAACTCCTGAGGCATCTCGGAGGACTCCTGCGACCGCTCCCTCTGGACTACCAGCTACGAAGGAACCGTCGACGTTTATCTTAAAGGACTGATTCTTCGGCGGACACCAATTCAAGGGTAAGTGAGCTTGATTCGAATCAAGTGTTGAACTTTTAGTGTGCCGCTTACAATAATTGCTGATCATCGATTCCGCTGAAGCAATTAGTGTTTCAGGGTTGGGGGGTTTTCGACGGAATACAAGATCGTTCCTTGCTTTCCAGATGTACCGGAGAAGGGCTGCGATTTTCTCTAAGGGAAGGGAGTTACCTGGCTTTTGTTGGTGATTTCGTAGCCATTCGTCCATTCGCGTGATGTTCTGACCCGAGAGCTGTATATTTAATGCAGGGTCATTCCAAACCGAGCCGGTCCAAGGGCAGAGCAAAAACAGATGTTCCACCGTTTCGATTTTGTGATTACAAAACGGACAAACTGGCACAGGTTCCAGAGAAAAATTCTGACTTTAGGGGGGGCTTCAGGTGCCAGATTTGGTACCACAGTTTGCGAGATGGCTGATATGATGATAAGGCTTACATTGTGTTCCATTTGCTTTCCTCCTCTTGAAGCACATTATAAGCACTTTTGACAGAGTAGACTGCTGACTTAGTTCCCATCCACACTAATTTGTCTTTTGCGAGGCGAGGTCTCAGAGGCACTGCTAGGATTTCGTTTACTACTTGTTCATCAAATAGTCGTCTGAGAGCATGCTCATCCCTCCTTTCTTCCTCATGTAGTATCAGGTCAGAAACTTTATCAGGATCGCTAAAGTTAGCTGGCCCTCCTATTATTCCACGCTTGAGCCATCTGTCTTCACGTATACTAATTTCCTCCCCTAGTCCCACTGACCACATGACCGACTTCGAGATTGTTTCTCTACCCATTAAGATACTTTGCCAACCCCAAGAGGGCGAGGCCCTTTTCCAGCTCACCAAAATGATCTACTAGGGAAATACAACCTTTTTAGAATTTGACCCCAAAGAGATGTCTGACTCTGTGCTGGTCGCCAAGCTTGTTTGCCAAGCATTGCTCTATTATAGGCTAACAGATCTCTGAACCCCATACTCCCTTTATCCTTTCTAGTTTTGAGTACTTCCCACCTCTTCCAGTGAAGACCAGACCTTGATTCACAGTTTTTCCACCAAAATGCAGCTACCCTCTTTTCTATGGATTAGCATATTGAAACAGGGATTTTGAAGATGGACAATGCATATTGAGGAAGAATTTGGACAACGGTTTTAATCAAAATTTCCTTCCCTGCCTTCGATATCAAGTTCTCCTGCCATCCCTCTAATTTCATATTAACTCTTGCTAACAACCAAGCAAAAATTTGTTTTTTGGACTTCCCCCAATCAGAAGGGATCCCTAAATATTTCCCAGTTTTGTCAATAACGGGAACTCTCAATGCATTAGCCATATTTCTTTTCAAGTTCGGTGGACAGTTTAAACTAAAGAACATGCCAGACTTGTTCAGGTTTATAGCTTGCCCTGAGGCATAGCAATATTGGTTCAGTATCAACGCAAGGTTTTGGCATTCTTGCACCTTCCCATCTAAGAGGAATATTGAGTCATCAGCGAATAGTAGATGGGAAACGGTTGGATAGTACCTGTTCAGCTTGATTCCAGTTATCGTCCCGTCATTCACTGCTTTCTTCATCAAGGCCGAGAGAGTATTAGCCACTAAGATTAATAAATATGGAGAGATAGGATCACCTTGACGAATCCCTCTTGATGGTTGGAAATAAGGTAGTGGCTCACCATTTAATTTGACACTTAAAGATGGCGAGGTGACCCATTTCATAACTCTATCCACCCGTAATGTACAGAATCCCATATTTGATAGGCATGTCTCCAAAAAGTCCCACTCCACTCTATCATATGTTTTTTTTTGTTTTAAAACAGCCTGAAACTTTACCTTTCTTTTCTGCACTCTCAATTGATGAAGCACCTCTTGTACTACAAGAATATTATCTTGAATCTGCCTACCGCCTACAAATGCACTTTGTTCCCCTGCTATTAGGTTTGGGAGCCAAGGTTTCAATCTATTGGCCAAGGCCTTTGAGATGATTTTGTAGGCGAAGTTACACAGGCTGATTGGTCTGAATTGATCAAGTCTTTCTGGGTTTTTAACTTTTGGGACTAACATAATATGGGTTCTATTTAACTCTAGATTGAGGTACCCAGAATTAAAGGACCTCACTTCCTCAAAGACTCCCATCTTGATTTCCTCCCAGTTGTGGTGATAGAATTGACCACTCAAACCGTCCGGGCCCGGTGCCTTCAATGATCCCATTTGGAATACAGCATGCTGGACTTCAATTAATGTAATCTCCGATGATAAAGCTTGGTTCATCTCATTTGTCACCAGATTAGGACACTGTTGTAGTACAAGATCAAAGTCACGATGTCCTTCTGAATGGTATAGATTTCGAAAGAACTCCACTGTCATGTCTTTCAGTTTTTTTGGGTCTCGGGTCCAAGTGTCGTCTGCACTTTTCAGCATGGAGATTCTGTTTCGCGGCCTTCTTTGAATGGTTGTAGCGTGGAAATACTTTCTGTTTTTGTCCTCCCATCTCAACCAGTTAATCCTCGACCTCAAGCCCCAATACATCTCCTCTTCTCCACAGGTTCTCTATTTGTTCAGTGAGTTCCTGCTGTTTCTTTCTGTCTGCGGTCAAACTCTGGTTGTTGATGACTCCTTGTAGGTCATCTCTCAGGACATTTATCACCTTTTGGCTATTGGGGAAATTTTTTCTGCTCCATTTAGCTAATTCTAATGCAACAGTTTTTAATTTCTGCGCTAAGTTCACACCAATCAGGTCTGGTGAGTTCCAAGTATTCTTAATGATGCTTCCATACTCCTCATTTTCCATCCAAATTGCCTCAAACTTGAAAGCTTTCTTTCTCTTCACTGTTTCAGCTGATTAAGAAAGTAAAATGGGGCTATGATCCAAGCCTATCGCGGGCAAGGCAAATGCTTCAGCTTTAGGGAATAATACTCTCCATTCAAAGTTGCATGCTGCTCTATCTAGTCTCTTTTTTCACAAACTCCTTCCCTTCACGATTATTCGCCCGGGTAAACGCACGTCCCTGGCTTTCCATATCCATCAATCTGCAAGCATTTAGAAAGTCCCTAAAAGCAGTTAATCTATATAGCTCAGAGTCCCTTTTCCCCACCTTTTCCCAATGATATAACGTTTCATTAAAGTCCCCTATACACACCCAAGGTAGGGTGTTCAGGGCGTAAATTTGCTGCAGCTGCTCCCATGTCTGTTTTCTCTCCTGGAATGTTGCTGGGGCATGAACAAATGTTGCCCTGAATAGTTTCCTCTGTTCTATGTCTTCGTAACTTACATCAATGAAGTCTTTTGTGGCCAAGTTCACTGACACAGAGGCTTCATCCGTCCACAATAATGCAACTCCCCCCCCCTCCCTCTCTCTCTCTCCTCCCCCACCCCAAATCCCTATTGGGTTCACTACAAATTGATGCTGGAACTCTAGCATCCTACGAATGCGCTGGACTACTGACTCTTGATTCTTTGTCTCCATTAAGAACACCAAGTTGGGCCGTTCTTGAGCCACAATGACCCGTAAGGCTTGAACTGTCAAAGGTGTACCCAACCCTTGACAGTTCCAACACAAAAGCTTCATATGTAACCCTATGGCTTATTAAGGTTACTCACCAAAGCCTATTTTGTTGTTTCCCCTGTTGGTTTCGCTGACTTTTTGCTTCCTTTGATTTTCCTGCAGAGAAATTCCAGCATGCTGTGATGAAGGGAGCTCTAACAGGAGAGGAGAGGCTGATTCAGTGTCCACGCCTTCCCGTAACACCATCGCAAATTGCTGTCCATTGTGTTGTTGAATGGGTTAATGGGGATTGTGGATTTGTCGGGAGTAAACAGAGATTTGAGAAGATTTGAATGGATGGGGATTGGGGATGAAATAGTGAAGGAATAAAGGGGATTTAGGGTTTCGGTATGGAAATAAGATAGGGATTTGGGGATTTAGGGTTTAAGGATGGGTAGGGTTTTGGTGGAGCTATCGCCACCATGGGGATAGAGGAGAGCTCTCACAAAGGAGAGAGAACAGCTCTCACGAAGGAGAGAGAGGCTTTTAATCGCCATTATAGATAAAGATCATACCAATTTAGTAGATTTGTCTCTACTACTGTCGGTCATAGGGGCAATCATACTTAGGGTCTCCTTTATTAGTCGGAACAAAAGAATTGGAGTAGATCAAAAGGAATTGGAATGAAAATTGGGTCATCGAAGTGGCATAAATAATTTGATGGTCACACCTTGCAATTGGAGGTAAGGTTCTTATAATTTGAAATATTATTAAAATTTACCTTAACAAAGAACAAGTTAATAGAAATTTATCCTAAAAGTTGCCAAAGAATGGAAAGTAAAAAGCGAATGAGGGCAATATAATGTCCTATTTTCGACATAATTGTTTTCTCAGCATAAATATTATTTAATTAATGGAATTCTCTTTTTTGTTTAGTCATACCTATCATCGATTCTCACCTCTCTACAGAGTGAGGAAAACGTGTCCTTGAAGCCATTCTACTCCTCTCATTCCAGTAAACAGGCCTAAGGGTTTTAACTTTTATTCAATGTGCAGTCGAGTATCTTGACTATTTTATTCAATTAAGTACCCCAAATTTTCAAATTTGACGATAGGTGAGACTTTTGTGCCATGCCAAATGTTTTTGTTAACGTGGAGTGTCTAACTAAGAGAAAATGATAATGCGGACAGCTGCATCATTAATAGTTTCGAACTGAACATATAAAATTTTCTCTTCTTTTTTCTTTTTCTTTCTGTTTTTCCTCCTCCTTATCCTTCTCCTCCTCCACCGCCATGCGTCTAACAGCTCTGCCGTGCGTTCGATAGCTCTGTAGCTCCACAGCTATAACTGCCGAACTTAAACACCAGAGTCCAAAACCACCACCACCCCTACTCAGCCATCGCCATATCTGGCCATTATTTGATGGTTATTTGTATTAGTTTCTTTGATATGTTTCATATAAGGAAACAAAATAAAGTTCTCGCAAAAAAATTAATCTAAACTTGATATATTTTATCTAATTCAAAATATTTTACAATGTAGTCGATGTCGAAGAATAAAAGTGATTTACTAAAAACAAAAAAAAAAAGGAAGTGATCTATTGAGGAAATTATAAAAAAAAAAGTCATAAACCTATTGTACTTATGCAAATTCAGTCTTAAACATTTCAATAATGCTAATTGATTCCTAAACATTTTCATATTTTTCCAATTGAGTCCATTGTTTAATTTTCTGCTAAAAATCACTGACATGGATGCCGACCATCTTACCCGGCACAGCCGGCGCTGACATAGACATTTTTTTGATAATTTTTTGAATTTTTTATAATTCCTTTTTGGTTTTTTTTTGCTTTTTTCTTTACCTTTTTTTTATTAAGGGCTGGCAAGGGTCACCGGCTCTGAGTGAGGGCCGCAACGCTATGGGTGGTCACTAGGCGAGAGCTTGTGGGCCCTCGCTTTGGTCGGCAAGCGCGAACAAATTTGGTGAGGGCCACGAGGCCCTCACTGGGGTTGGTGAGGGACACGAGGCCCTCACTGGGCTGGTGAGGGACTGCGCATGGGCCCTGCGGCCCTCACTCGATCTGGGAGAGGTTGCGATACTCAGATCGGCGAGGGCGTTGTAGCCCTCGGCCATGGCCGGCGAGGGTCAGCCAGCAACTTTTGCCAACCCTAAAAAAAAAGAAAGATAAAAGATAAAAGAAAAGAAATAGAAAATACTATTAAAATATTATTAACAAATGTATACGTTAGTGCCGGTCGTGTTACGTAAGACAGTTAGCGTTCACGTCACCTGTTTTCGATCAAAATTAAGCGGATTGACTCAATTGATAAAATGTGAAAATATTTAGAACTCAATTTGCACAATTGAGAATGTTTAGAACCCAATTAGTATAAATATAATAGGTATAAGACTTTTTTGCTAATTTTCCCGTGATTTGCTTGGTGAAATTAAATACAAATTAAATATATTTTAGGAAAGAAATTTGTGAAGGAATGACCGCATGGATGAGAGAGAGAGAGAGAGAGAGAGAGAAACCATTGTAACTCTTGGGGAGTGGGCATAAAAGTCGGCGGCAACGTCGGTGGTGTGGGTGAGACAGCGGAAGGAGGAGGACAGAAAGAAAGGAAAAATTAAAGAAGAAAAAGGAAAAATTATTTTGCGTGGTTACATGGCATACAATTCTTATTTTGAGCTAAAGTAAGGAAGTTGAAAAAGTTTTTTTTATGGGGTGCGCTTTTTTCATTTCTACTTTAGCTAAAACACTCCCAAACAAAATATTATGACCATTTTATCCATTATGGATTCTACCTTTCAGCATCATTTGCATTCTCTTAGTGTCCTTTTTTCTTAAAATCTTCTTTTGCGGGTCCCACTTTCCTTCATCTTCGCCATTCTCTCTATCTTCCTTTGTTTACTTTCTTTTCTTTGATGTTTGAGATTGTTTTTGTGTCATTTTTCATGATGGGTGCTCGATAAATTGATTAAATTCAAACTGTTGGTTAATGTTGAGAAATGTGGTAATTTTCCTTATGATGGGTTTAGGTCAATGAAGTCTGAAGGTGTTTTTTCTTCTTTTTTTTCTTTCATCTCTTTTTCTTATGCCTAGGAAGAGTAGGTATTGATTCATTCCTTATTTATTGTTGAATCTAATTAAAGTTTATGCTTTTGGGGATGATCTTTAATGAGGCCTTTTGGCATTGCTGAGTTTCTCTCATTCTGAGGATTCCATTAGTTGAAGTTTTTGAAATTTAATGGGGAAGAGTGGAAAGAGAAAAGCGGGTCTTTTTTTATCCTAAAGAGTTTTGCATTCACTATGTGAAAAAATGATTATCATCCCATTAACTTCTAAAGATTGAATTTAGTTATTTCTTTGACCCTCTTCAAATAGAGCATGCATTTAATTTTTTGAGTAAATTTTGAGTATTCTTTTCATTGAAAATTTCTTGAAATTGGTTTCCATTGGCCTCTTTCTTTTCTACAATCTGTTTGGCGGAATGATTTCAAGATGCACATATTGGTCTGGTAATAGTTTGGACTCAGAAAGGATGAAGGGTTTTTATCCAATAAATTTTAGTTTGAAAGGATGAAGGGTTTTTATCCAATAAATTTTAGTTTTCTTATTATTTCAATAGGTTTATTGAAACTTTTTACTATTTTGTTTGCGGTTCTTGATAAAGTGGAAAACAAATAGGCACGCCAAACACATTTTTGCATATTAGCTAGTAAAGTCTATTAGTGGCGGTGCAAAGTTTGGTTGAATCCCTTCTCTATATTGCATTGGGTTGGTTTTGAATAGAGAATAGCTTCCATATGTTGCACAACCACCAATTAAACCAAGAAAATATCATTCGACTGAGTTTTATGCTTTTACAGAAGTGATTATGGTGGCATTTTCTCTACAAGAGAGAGAAAGAGAGAAAGATGCTGAAAGGTGGGATGAAGAGAGGAAAGTGGGACCCGCAAAAAAAAAAAATCAAAAAATGACACCGAGGGTTAGGTTAAGATGGTGTAGGGTGGGACCACACAATGGGTGAAATAGTCCAAACACTTTGCTGGGAAGTGTTTTAACTAAACTATGAGTGGAAAAAGCACGGCCTTTTTAATTAAACAATAATTTCGAAGAAAGATGGTACCTTCCCTTGCTTGCTCCATATGTAAGCAATTATGGTGAGACTATCGAACATTTATTCTTGCAATAGAGGGACTGCTTCCCGCATCTTCAAATTCAAAAGGAAGGTCCAAGTCGTCTATCAAAGTGGTTCATACATCCTATTACCTGGGATGTACCATTGCAGTGATGTTCTGGCAATTACGGCTGTCTTGCTACACAGATTTTTCGAGGTAAAATGCCAGATCACCTATATATAAGAAATTGCCGGTCTTAATTTGGGTGATTTACTAGCTGTTCACGGATTAAGTTACTCATGCTTTATTAATTTTGTTGGAGTGAGTTACTAACATTTACTAATACAATCTATTTGTGGATGACTTGTGTAGTAGTACCGGCTAGGATGGGTTTCAATAAGCTTAGGTCTTCCGAACATTGCATAGGAACTAAGCTCACCTTTGTAACAACAGTCTCATTCTCTCTATTATGAAACTATGCAATAACTAGGGCTAGTTTTTGAGCTCCAGAGGGAGGAAATTGAGTAAGGCGGTCGTTTATCTGTGAGACGACTCCTCTTGCTTGATCTCGTATTCACTCAGAAAGGCAACAAGCTAGTGCATGTTTCCCAAAATACTTTTGACTTATAATCAGATTATTAAAGAGCAGCATAACTATAAATCTCAAGCTCTAAAAGTATGAGTTTTCATGGTTTAATTTTTTTTCCCTATACCTTTTGTTTAGATGCATTCTTGGTACATCTCTTGCTTCTTCCCCCATTACTTGAGCTCGTCCTTTCAAAACTACACTCAGAACAGAGAAACAATGTCCACGATCTAGATTAGCTACTTCATTTACTGCTCAAATCACAATGAAACGGATCCTATTTCACCAAGTTTTAACTTTTACATCACAAAGTAAATTGATGAGTTCTGCACAAGCTTAGGAAACATAAAATGTTAGACCATGACAGTGTCAGACAGATGAAAAATCATACTGAAAACACAAGGCGTACGCCACATTTTAGCAGGCACGTGCTCTCATGTATGCAAGAAGAGACAATAGCATCTATTAAACATGAAAGAGATTTCTTTATTGAGTACGTTGCCCATGGCATATCTGAAAGCATAATATCCTCATAGTTAAAACATCTTAGGTCTTTGGAGATGCTATACTTCTCGATTTAAACATCATCACATTAATGACATCGAAGGATCTCACTGCAGTGAAAAAAAGTGAGGAAGAAGAGAAAAAGAAACAGGGGTGACAGCGAAAAGGAAAAGAGAAACCAATGTTAGCTTAATTTGTAGCACTTCCCATAACTGTAAACTTTTTGGGGCAAATAAAGGATATGGAAATGTCTAACAAGACGCAAATAATTGAAGAAAAAGGAAATGAAGAGGGGAAAGAAACAAATAAATATAAACCTAGCTTCTTCACGCTTCCAGAAACACCACTTTCTCCCATTTAGACTAAGGAAAGGACAGAAAAGATGGAAAATTAGTTCCATAAACCTCCATTTATTTCATGGCTATGTATCGCAATATTCAAAGTGCGACAACATGCAGAATCACTACGAAACCACATCCATCAGTAATCAACCTAAGGAATCATAAACTTCCAGTAAGCTTTAGTTGTCAATTGTCATATGCCACAATTTCAAAGTGGATCTATGTAGATACAAAATCAGCAACAAAAGCAAGTTCAAAAATTGACATAATACATGCCTCAGAACTACTTGAATGCAATGATAGGTATTGAGCCAGAGCCACCAAATTTGTCATTTGCACAGCCATAATATACTTCCTTTATGCCTAAAAAGGGTAAGAGTCATCTAATCATTTATGAATATACATATTTTAGGAAAGTTTAGTTTTATTTCAGTATGATCAACAGATGTACCAATGATCGATAATGCTGCAGCACACATTATGCACGGTTCACATGTCACATAAAGGGAGCATGCTAAAAACTCCTCTGCAACTTCTGCAGCCAAAAATCCAGTGCTCTGCCACTATTTAAGAAGAACATCAAGAGCTTCCATCTCTGCATGTCTTGCTGTCCATAAAAGCCCAAGGAGAAAAACAAAGCAAGCATATGAAACTTAGGAGCTTTGTCAAAGAGACAGTTGCTCTTAGTGTATTTTCAACATAATTAAGAAATGCATTTCATGATAAATGTTTTGTCCTTCAAGTTAACTGATTGAGAGTATATATAAGATTGATCCAGGCATATGCCACGTGAAGTTAACAAGTCTTGCTCGCTTAAAGTTACTGAGAATCCCACATGGAAAAAGAGGCTTCTTATTGGATTAGCCACCTCCACCTTTTGGAGCAGTATTATTACACATACCCCTGTAGCAAGGCGCCTTTGTTTTTTTATTAAGCTCCACAAGATACTAAAAGGACCAAATATTTTACGCATCAACTACTCATTACCATCCATACAATCATTTATAGTAGTATATTGTCACCATATGACTATAAATGATTACAAAAACAGACTATTGGATACGCGATGATCTCTACCAGAAACCAGGCTTAAATATCTGTGTAAATGAGGTCATTGTATGACGAAATGTGCCCAAGGAACAGGTCATTACTTCTTAAAAGGCCTTACAATGGTCACAATGCATTTTTATACCATTTAAGTATACCAAAAGTCTAATGTTAGGAACTTCACAATAGATAAAGACCGTAATGTGGTTCCAAACGGAGCTCAATAGCAAATGAAAAACGTAAAACATTGTGCATAATAAAGCAATAGTATTGTTATTGTTAGCCATAGCCATGTTTTATGAAGAGTAATGGGAAAAAAACCCTTCACAGCCAAATAATGCATGGAAAATTCCACATACTAACAGATTTGATCAGATATATTATTTTATCATCTATTAAAGAAATATTAAGGGAGAAACATAAAATGATCAACGATAAACTAGGAGTGGATAATTCGAGGGTACCAATTCAGAACAATAACAAAAATCTGTTGCCCAAAATTTATTGGGGGGGGGGGGGGGGGGTGTGGACAAGCAATGATAAACATACATTTTGTGTCTCACTAGTCCGGTTTCTTCTTGCCGCAATAACATTCCCATCCTCAACAATCACATAGCTGTTCAAAAAAAGAGTACAATCAGAGATCATGCATAAGATTGAAGTACTAACCATCTTATTTAGAAAATAAAGTAACATATGTGAAATGGACCTAGTAACTGAAAGCTAGTATCTTACCAAACTGGAACTTCAAGGCTGTCCAACGCAAGCTTTACCTTCTATAAGAAAAGCAAATGGGCCACGTTCCTTGTTAGGAGAAAAATAAAATGAGGATAAGAGTCAATAATTCTCTCATGCATGCATGCCTGCATACAGGCAATTCAAGAGATAATCAGTAAGTTGCAAGAAATATTTCAATATCAATATGTGGCTACTAATGGAATGAATGCATGTCTCATAGTTATGATCAAGATCTTGCAACTACTATATAATATACTAGTAACAAACTTTCCAATTAATGATTATCACCAGGTACTCATCCTGTAATTCAGATGCAAATCCCACCGAACTGTTAAACTGATATGGCTCATTGTCTCTATTCTACTGAATAACTTATGCAAACTCTGTGTTTCTCGTGATGTTTTTCTTTTTCATATCCATAGTCCACAGGGTGAAAGAAAATAAACACCTAACCAGTTATCAATGGGCACAACAAATATTCATATTACTCTCACACTCGCAAGTAAATTTGCTTTCCAATTAACCCTAGTTGCCAAAGTCAACAAGTGGCAAAAGGGCTTGACTGTCAAGCAACCTTTCTTGGTGGCTTGCTATCTCACTTTCTCATTCCTGTATGATTTTGCCTCTTCAAGCGCCTCATAGAACTTAGCGACAGAGTCCTATCAGGGTGCTATCCAATGGTTGAATTTTCTCACAATTCAATTGTCCTGGTAAACCTATCACCGGGTGAGAGGTAAATACCACCCTCTCTCTCTCTCTCTCTCTCTCTCTCTCTCTCTCTTCCGTGTTGCTAGTTGTCTGCAATGCCTGGTTTCGCGTGAGGGAGTCCTCAACTTATAGCACCCAGTTTGACTCAGTTTTTCGCCTGAAAAGGGGACTGAAACAACCCATGTACACCCTACTTCCCGTTGTTTCACTTGCCCTCGCTTATTTTTACTTCAAAACTAGACTTCACCTACTTCTTTAAATAATTCGCCACCTATGAAAAGAAAGAAAGAAAAGCTATACCTTCTAGGGATTGTTGCTGATTTTGCAGCATGTAATAGTGATTACCAATGGAATCACTACCAAGCATCCACGGACTAAACTTACGAAGAAACACTTATTCAACTTCTCTCGAAAAAATTCAACAACACATTCTTCAAGTTCCCGGGCAATTGTAGCATCATAGAATCAAATTCAAAATCTCAAGTATTACATCAACTAATACAATTCAGACGTGTCAGGCATTACCAGATCTATGGCAACTTGCATGAAGCTCAGAACCTCTGTAGAGAATCGTTCACCCGAAGCTACATCATCAGTTTCCATGGCTTCGGTCAGCAGTTGTAGTGTGTCGTCTCAAATCGCCGGTCTCCATCACCATCGGTTTGCTAGGGACTCTGTTTGAGGAAGAACTACTTCTGTTCGTTGCCTCGGTTGGTAGGTGGCGATCTTACAATAGTCAAAGCTTGGTGGTGTTGGATGGAAGATGAGCAGTGATGATGCTGGAAGTACCGGCAGTGGAGTTCGAAGTTTGCCAATGGTGGAGAAAAGAGGATTTAGCAACCAAAAAATTAAATATATCATACATGGGTTTAATACCCAAAGAAAGAATATGGGGAGAGAAAAACTAAAAACAAGACCAATTGAGTTCACTTACCTACGAATTGCTTCCTTAGCAAGATTCGATCACTCTAACAACAAAAGCTGCAAGCCAACACTACCATTCTCATCTATGCCAATCGAATTGGAAGTCAACATAGTCTTGCTTTGCATGCCTCGTGGGAGAATAAGCTTATGATTTCTCTTTGGTACTATTTGACTTTTTTCCTCAGCACACACTTGACAATCTTGTAAGTCCTTCTGTAGATCTGTTTCGATGGAATTATCTTCATGCATAAGCGAAATCTTGGCTTCTGAATCTATTGATTCAAGAACAACCTCGTAGAGTAAAGCTGGATCCATTAGCTGATTGTCTTGGAGCACAACCTTTAAATTGTCCTCCAATTGCACGCATATTATTCGGAATCCCCACTTTTTCACAATTCCACCCGATATGGTAAGGCTAAATTGTACATAACTCTCATCAATTTGACCAAAATCGACCACTCCCCACAACTGAGATGGTATGAAATACTGAAGCCAGATATGATCCGAATCCGACAAAAAGGTATTGTAACGTGGTACCCAATAATTCCAACACTCCCCATTAACACATGGTACAAGCTCAAAAGGGACTCCCTTTTTCTGTTCATCATTACCAAGAGCGACATAGAGAGCAAATCCAAGAAACTTGTCATACAAGTCCTTTGAAGCCTTGAAAGATACGGAATCCTCTTCAACAGGAAGGACCCACTCTGGCATCTCTCCTCTAGGAAAGAGAAATTAGGTAACGAGGGTAACGAAGAGGATTTTGTTATAAGGGTAGACCGTTAGAAAGTACCGAGCCTATTATCAGTACCCAAATAGAAAATTCATTTTTCAGTTTAGTAAGTAATCTTAGTGAATTTCACTGAGAACTGGCACTCTATAAATGAGTAGAGGTCCAAATAATCCTTGCTTCGTTAATTTACAAGCCTCATGTGAGAGAAATCATTCCCATAAAAGTACAGTAGCCACCTCCATTACAATGCATTTGGCAAACACTGATTATTCAAGCCAATGACATATATGCAACATTTTCCTTGTTCTTGGTATTGTTAGTCTCAAATCAATGCCATATACTGATTATTTACGCCAAGATATAGACTATATGGTGCGACATTTCTCTTTCTCAGTTAATTTTTGTAAAGTATTGGTTTTCATTTTATACCATCCACATGATAATTGATTTAAAGAAAGCCATTCGAAAATATGTGTTCACCATGTGATCTAACCTCATCAAATTTTATGCCCATCTAAAAATGATAAATTAATAAAGTTTTTCTTGACTACATAATAACTAAATTTCTTATGTAATTTAACTTTTTATATATGGTTAATTGCTATGTAAGTTAATTATGCCGCTACGTTTTCTAACTTTATTTGATTTTGAATTTATAGTAAGTGGTCAAAAAAATTAGTAAATGACAAAGTTTGTGTATGACTATAGAAATGAATTTTTTAAGTATAGAGACCATAAATGTTATATATTTAATTAACACTCCTTTTATTTCCTTTAACGAAATATATGTTGAGGGAGGAAAAGGAGCCAATGATTGTGCGACACACGACATAGCCATAGCACACTATTCTATCCAACTTTCCAGTATTGTATTGATATGTCTTCAAGCCTAAAGAGGTTTCACAAGTAGCTAATATGTTTATCCTCCTCGATCAGGCCCGAGTTCAAATCACCAAATTAGCACATTTTCTTTATGTGATTCCTGGGAACATGAACCTGCATGTTCTTAGTACTTACCCAGTTTTAGTACGTTCGGCCAGAGGAGAGACTGTCCCATCTAGTGGAGATTAGCTGGTTACTAAAAAAATTACGGAATACCACATTGATATAAAGAAAAAACTCTTACATTCTTTTGATAATTTCTCTTGTGAGAATGCGCATTTATATACAAAGTTTTACCTCACTTCATATTTGTTTGCTTTTCTTAAGCCTCCACTTGCATTTTCTGCTATTGCAACATAGAAGCACACACTGAATCCAGCATGTACTTCACATCGATGTGTGTGTGTGTGTCAGAGAGAGCAAGAGAGAGAGAGACTAACCAGGTCAAGTGAGAAACTATCAGCCATGGTCACCCCTCTACGGACAAAATCATGAAATGAAGTTAAATCTCCAGTATTTTGCATAGATTCGCAACCATCCGCCAGAAGACAATTCAAAAATGGTGGAAGCTCAAGAATCTCTTGTAATTGATGGCTTTCTCTAACACTCAAATGGAGCAAATGATCACGCTTATTGATGGATGTAGGAAGGCTAGTAATATTATTCCCCCCGAGCAATAAAGTTTCCAAGAAGGGAAAACAGGAAAGATTCTCAAGAAACTTTACTTCGGACAAATTACATCCATAAAGGTCCAACCAACGTAAATTTGAAAGTCCGGTGTTCATGTAGGGATCAGTTGAATCCTCATACTTTGGAAACCCGATTAAATTTGTGCAAGAGTTAACTTGCAAGTTTTCCAGGTTTTGTAACTTATAAATGCTAGATGGAAGACTTTCCAGGTTCTTGCAACAATATATATACATAATCTCCAAAGAGACAAAATTTTCTATTGATGTAGGAAGTTCTTTAATAGCGGTCCCTTGTAAATGAAGCTGTTTCAGGCCTTCAAGTTTATATGGAATATCAAGGAACCTTTCAAATTTTGTGCAATTTGCAAGATGAAGAGCTTGGAGGTTTTTTGACTTGAGCACATTTGCAAAAACGCTAAGTTCAGAGCACTCACTTAAATTCAACACTTGTAACTTGTCATGATATGCAATGGACTCGTGGGCTTCTACCAAGTTTTTGCAATATGAGAGATTCAATTGCTCGAGATTTGGAGTGCATGAAAGGTCAGGCATACGAACTAGCGACTCGCAGTAACCGAAAGTAATGTACTTCAAATTTTGGAAGTCCTGCAAAAACAGCGAAAACAAGTTTTGATAAACATTCTAAAATGGACAAAAAGGGGTGTTTGTACATAGACAGGGAGTCAATCATTCGCTCAAACTGGGGAAATGATGGTAGTTCAATATCGGATGTCATTCACGTTATCCCTGGTTTTATATATTGATGATTAATAATACAGTAACTAATTTGGCTACACAACACATGGGGGAGATCAGGGAATGGATATGTCACAATTACATATCCTTGACTGTTATATAATCTATATTGACCGGGTGAATATGTCGTAATTACATATGCTTAGGCCACAATACTATTACTCTTCATGTGGAAGGAAGGAAGGAGCTTCAGTAGATCAGGCAACTAGGAACCATCAAAAAATTCAAAAATAAAATCGTGTTTGACAATTACTAAAAAAATTACAATTAATATCATTAAAAATCCCAAACCAGCACGCAGAATTACTTCAAATTAATTTTCGTTTTACAAAAACCTAAACTGGTACCACTATGACACAGTTACCCCAAACTAATTTTCTTTTAAGAATAAAATCACAAACTGATATACCTGACCCAAATCTACCCTCCAATAGCAGATGAAAATTAATTTGGGATAAAATTGTGCCATGTCATACATCCGGCAGTCACAAAATTCAAGTGAAGTATCACATGGCGAGCATGTGAATATAGATCACATGACAAAACTACGCCATGCGTCATGCCATGTGACAACCATAGAAGCATATAGTAAAGTGCCGCGTGGCAATTGCGGATGTAGGCCACACGACATGACGACACGACAAAACTGTTCCACACGTCATGTCATGTGGCAACCACAAAAGTAAAGCGAGGTGCCACATGGCAAGCATATGAATGAAGATTCTACCAGTTCTGGCTTTAACCATATATCATAGATGAATGGGGGATATAAATACTATCATAATGTAATTGCGTAAAATTATAGAACTTAAAATTATTTTGAAGTCATGCAAAGACAATGAAGCCAACTTTGAAATATATTCGGAAAATAAAATTTCATATACTCAATTCAAAATTTGGCTCTGACTTTCTATTAAGAAACTAGCGGCATGCCCCTACTAGATCACTTATAATGATGTAGTTGGGCACACATTACACTCATTGCTGGCAATGTTCCTATCAAAATACTCTATTATATCCACTTAGAAGTGCTGCTCCTTAAGAAATTATTTAAGCAATTAACAATCCCTCGTTTTACAGAATGGTGCATTCAAACCTTCGACTGATCTAATTTTATTGATGCTGGACAAATCCCCGCTGTTTAGGTATGTGCATTGAGTAAAGCTCTATTACTTGATGACTACGTGGCCTACCACCACTTAAGCAGCTACTCCTTGGGTGTCTTTTACTTCTATATACATGTCAACGGGTAGGTTCGTTATATTTTTGTTTCCCTTTTGTTCGATCACTATGCAATTTTCTGTATAATAAAAATAGTTTATATGTAAACAACCGACAGCAAATTGCTTTTTGAATTTCTCCACTAGGTAGATTTGATCTGATTTTAAAATATATCAATGTCGATAGTTAGAGATATTAGGTTTAGAAAGTATGTAAACTTTATTTATACTATTATATAAGGTAAAGATGATCTCCTACTAAAAGATTTTAATCTTTTTTTTATATTCCTTCCATCAATTATCCTCAATTACTTATTTAACAGATATTATACCATGGACAGCTATGTAAAATTGATTATTTTATTTTTTGTCACTCACATTTTCAATTTGAAAAGTCGAATTTTTTCTAATGATGCAATGACCATACAAAAACTTCAAATCTTGAAATCTCTTTCTCTTTCCACATATATGTATAAAACTTCTTTGTATTGTCTATTTTATGAACAAAAATTGTTTCCTTTGAGTATTTCTAATAAAGTTGTTCGCTCAATTTTTTCAAGTGCCAATTTTGCTGCACGTAAAAATATTTCTAACACAAGTTGTTAGCGACATTTTGAAAGAAAATAGAAAAGTGGTTTCAAAAACATAGGAACACCACTTCCTTTGGTGTACTAGCCCATATAATACGCATATACATATACAAATGAAGTAGATAATACAAATGTCTATGTAGGTAAATGCTCACCTTAAATTTTTTTACCACTCCTGTGATATTGCCTTCGCTCATATTAAGTCCCACTAATTTCTTTGTGCCAGAGGAAAATTCTGGAATCCACGAAGCACCAGGACATTCGAACCATCTTAGCCAATTAGGAAGACATACAGGACCTTGGAAAGAATTATGCACATTCCGCAAAATGAGCAATCTCAACCTTCTCATTTTTGTAAACGCATCAGGATCGATACATATCTCTATTGGCTCAAATGGCTCCAACACTATGGCTTTTACAGCACAATCTCCCTGTATACAAGACACTTTAGGTCATGCATCTTTAATAATTAGAGTCAAAGATAAGGAGCAAAAGATTTAATCTTATTTGCAAGTCTTACCATGTCGCTTGATAGAACATCAAGAATATCATCATACAACCATAGTCTGCTACGTCTCCTAGGATCATATCGACATTCTTGGTTCACAATATCTATACCCATTACTTGAATCAAGTCATGCATTTGTAGTGGTCCGTTCTCAATGCTTATCAAGGACCTCTCAATGACAATATCAAATCCTACAGCTGTCTCAAAATCACAACTGTCGAGAACTTTCTTTATGTAGTTACTATCCTTTCCCTTAAAGGAGCAGGCAATGTGGAGAAAAATCTCTTTCGCGTTTTCCTCTAGTCCATTATAACTTATTTTGAGCACATCATTAATGATTTTGTTGGGTAACCTAGAAAGTTTCCGTAGTGTACTTTCCCATACATCTTCTCTTCTACCACATAAGAAGGAACCCAGCACCTCAAGTGCTAAAGGAAGGCCTCTAGCATGATTGAGAATACTATCCACCATATCTATCCTGATTTCTAATTTTTGGTGTGTCGGAAAAGCGTGATTGCTAAGTAGCTCGTGAGCTTCACTATCATCGAGTGCTTCAACTTCATACACATGATCTTGATCAATCCCACGACAAGTTAGCAAATGTTTATCTCTTGTAGTAACAATGATCCTACTTCCATTACTGTTCGTAAAATTCTGCACGTGTCAACGAACGTGTTGAACAAGTAATATAATGATGAGAAGAGTATCGTCCCACAGAGATTGATGATAATAAACCAATTAAATATTAAAAATGGACTAATTCTAAAATTTATCTAACTGATCGAAATATAATTGAGAACAAATAAAAATTGACAATTTTTAAAAACGAAATTTTATAAACTAAAGGCAGATAATCAATCAGGTAAAATATGTTAGAGCATCCGATTTCACTATAACCACTAGATATGAATTTCGGATCATTATGCATACAAGAACAATATCAAACATGTGATAGCGGAATTTCCTTGTCACGCCCCAAACCCCATCGGGCATGCGACACCCTTACCTGGTCGATTTGCGCGACATCCCAGGAATGTCGCCGACCTCAAATAACCATCATAGATTTAAAGCCACATCGGAATTCACAATTAATCCCTGACAAATAAAACTGGGGAGAATAGGGAGAATACACATATTTCTTTACATTATCAACTTATAAAATATTCACAACTTACAACCGCCAGACTTTACCACCATCGCGTATACTTGCACCCCGTGTTACAAACCATCGATATACCAAAAAGATCGATGGCCTGACTTTCTATCCCAAAAATGTTACTTTCCAAAAACCTATTAAGAATTGAACTAACCCCTAACGCCCCTTGCTAGGCGTCCATTCCGAATCTGACTCCTCATCTTCCGACTCCGAACTCTCCTGAGCAGACTGCTCCTCTGAGGACTCTGACTCTGCTTCGATCACAATCGGGTGATTGATGTCGCCCGACTCAGCTGGAGCTGTGTTCTGATACTCCTCAGCCAAGAAATCGAAGAAATTATACTCAGGCACGTAATTGGGATCCATGTATTCCTCAAAAGGGAGTATATACTCCGGGTCTCCTACAGGCTCTTCAGACTCGCCAGGTTCGTCCTCGGGTTCCACTTCGGGTTCCACCTCAGGTTCTACCTCGGCCTCCGCTTCCTCTGGTTCTTCCTCGGGGATCGGTTCCAAATCGATGTCCATCGGATCGTCTTCAGCTTGCGACGCTTCGGGCTCGGGTTCATGCTCAGCCTCTGAAGATCCCTGAGCTGTGGCCGCTGAATGCAAACCTGACTGAGCTAAACTAGTATCCGCACTAGTCAACTCTCCGTCTATCGGGGGTACGGCCGTTGGGTCCCAATCTCCTACTAAATCAAATGGAACGTCGAAGCCTCTAACGGGCCCGAACTCATCCCCGGTTGATCCCGGAAGAACCAGGCGGTGTACTTCGGTTCCTCCAACAAGGGCAAACCTATATCTACGAAAACAGTAGTAGTGTGCCTAATCCAGGTCATCCCATCTCCCATTCGAAACTCTGCAACGACCAACTCGGTGTGCACGAGTACCCCAAAATGCTCCGGTGGCTGCGGTGGAGGGTTCATGGTTCCTGACGGGGTTCTGAAATGTTGGTTGAGACAACCATAAGAACACTGCTCAGCAAGTTCACCCCTAAACCCCACCTAGGCTATCACGTACCTCCAGACAATCGCACAGACACACGTGCATTCGTACACATCAAGTCATCACATCGCAGGCACCTCAAATAATATAGTCAAACTCAAACATGCGTACACCCGTACTCAATCACAATCACACCGTATGCAACACACGCATGTACCAATTCTCATTCCACTATTCCTTCCATTCTCATTTCCTCTTTCTCATTCCTTGCCAGTGACCCGCGTTGAAGTACACGCCTCAGGTACACTGCGACCACTTATGTGACATCCCGAATTTCGGCCCATTTTTGAGTTTTATAAAACGCGTAATTTGTCAGTGTGCTTATAGTAAAATCTCGCCCGGGAACTGATCACTCCCGGTTATCATTTTAAATTAGAGATTTCGCTAGAATCGCACTCGATCAAATCTGGCCGTTATTTAGACCCCGAACTTGGCAGTCGATTTTTGGGAGTTTCAGGACGAAATAAATTGGACGGTGTCAATATTATCGTAGCCAGCGTTGAGATTGTCAGGAATAATGGAAAAATGGGAGTTTTTGACCGGGTGCGAATTTGGACTAGTAGACCTCCCTCGCTATAGTTTGATTTAATTAATTCGGCTTTTGTCCCTTTTTATATGCGAGGCTTATTTTGGACCGGTAGATCGCTTTCGATTTTGAATTTGGGTCATCGGATCGCATTTAATATTTGATTGAAGTTAATTTTTTTATTATTTTTCTCTCTCCTCTCTCCTCTCTCCTCTCTCCTCCGCGCGCACTCTCTCTCTCTCTCTCTCTCTCTCTCTCTCTCTCTCTCTCTCTCCCCTTTCTCTTCTCTCCTCTCTGACCGCACGCAACCCCCCACGCAGAAGTCCACTCACGCCCATTCCTCCCCCCTCCTCTGACACCTTCTCTCCTCTCTCTCTTCTTCTTCCTTCTTCTTCTCTTTCTTCTTCCTTTCTTTTTCTGCTTCGGTCTTCTTCCTCCCCGACGAGCCGCGTCTGGACTTCGCTCCGCCTGACGCCGTCCCGCTCGTCGCCGCGTACCGCGCCGTCGCCGGCCAGCTCGACCGCCGCGCCGCGCCGCCGTCCGCCGCCGCCGCCCGACCTTCCTCTTCTCCTCCTCGCGCGCTGCAGAACTCACGCCACCGCCCGTCGCACCCGGCGTTGTCCAGCCCGCAGCCGGTCGCCGCCGTCGTCCCGATCGCCGCCGTCCGTCGCCCATCGCCCCAGACAGCTGTCCTGTCCCCTCCCACTGTTCGCACGAGCCGTGAGCTCGCCCCGGCCGACCGCCGCGGGCCCAGTGTCCCCGTTGCCGCCGCTCGGTGGTCCGCTCCGCCGTCCGGCTCGCCGCCGTGCTTGCCTCGTCGCCGCCGGTCCGCCATCTCTCCCCTCGGCCTCCTCTCTCTCTCCCTCTCGCCTCCACCCCCGGCAGACCTCCACCCTCCCTGCGGCTCGTCGTCGCCGCTCGCCACCACCGCACCGCCGTCGCCGTCGCCGTAGTCGCCGCCGCCGCCGGTCGCCGCCCGACCAGCTAGCCGGCTAGCCCGGCCAGCCCGGCCCGGGCGGTGGCCAAGCGGCTCGGGCCGGCCCGGGCCGTAGCCAAGCCAGCCCGGGCCGTGGCCGAGCTCGCCCGGCGCGGTGCCCGTCTTACCGGGCGCGTCGCCCGTCCGACCCGGGCGCGTCGCCGTCCGACCGGGCGCGTCGCCGATCGTTCGCCGTGCGCCCCTTGGCACGCCGCACGGCCATTGCGCCGCGCGCCGGGCACGCCGATCGGCCATTGTGCCGCGTTGGCCGGCCACCGCGCCTGTTGGCCCGCGCCGCGCCCGGTCAGTACGGTTCACCGGGCCATTTTGGGCCCGAGCCGACTTTTCCCGGGCCAAACTTAGGTAAGTGACTTCCTAAACCCTATCTAGTACTTTGGGTATTTTTAGACTTGTTTAGGGTGAAATTTAGTACCGGCTTAGGAATTTAATTAGACGTGGGCTAATTAGACTGATTGTGCTTAATTGGTAAATTATTGTGGCGATAATTGTGTGGCTGATTTAGTGATTGACTGAGATAAATATGCCTGACTGAATTGTCGTGGCGCTTGTGGGTGAATTGGATTATTTGAATGTGCCGATATGAATGTCGAATCGGTGGATTGATGTGGGGGGTGTGAATTAAATTGGTTGTTATAGTGTGTCAGATTGACATTGGTGTGAGCTTGGTAATTTGATTGTGAAATGTACGACGTGTTAGATGACAGATTGTGTGGTGGTGCATGTGCATGAGAGAAATGTCCTGAGGCGTGGTTACGCGGGACTGAGCCCGGCTTGATCTGAGGGCTGCCAACCTGAGGCGTGGTTACGCGGGTGTGGCAAAAAAGGCAAGTGATGACCTGAGGCGTGGTTACGCGGGTCGAGAGAAATGTCCTGAGGCGTGATTACGCGGGACTGAGCCCGGCTTGATCTGAGGGCTGCCAACCTGAGGCATGGTTACGCGGGTGTGGCTAGAAAGGCAAGTAATGACCTGAGGCGTGGTTACGCGGGTCGAGAGAAATGTCCTGAGGCGTGGTTACGCGGGACTGAGCCCGGCTTGATCTGAGGGCCGGCCTGAGGCGTGTTGACGCGGGCCGTGTGAAAGGACCTGGGAGGTCGTGAGAAAGTTGCTCGGCCACGCATGCGAATTGAGTGTGATTGAATTGACTGGTTGAATTAGTTGGAGTGATTGAGTGAAAGCGTGGTTGGTGTTTGAGCGATTTGTGATGTGTTATTTAATTACTATTATTGCCTTATCACGTGACGAATAACGTGTAGAGTTGGCATGGACTTGATGGCGAGGTAAGTACAATGATGCGAATTTTATATGTTATGGGGTAGATTGCATGTCTGACTTGTCTGGGTACGCATTGGCCTATGTGGGGTTTAGGGGGTTGCTTATTGAGACTCGTTCTCACGGTTATTATATAACCATTTCAGATCCGCGACCGTAATCGATTCGGAGACGCCGCCAGAGCACCACAGGGATTGAAGAATAGATCATTTACCCTGTCTTTTGAGTACCTTTTGTAGAGGAGATAAGCTTGTCAACCACCGCCCCCTTTTGAAAACTATCATTCTAAATTGGTAGCCCGAGTTATCGTTTTGTATAGTGACTACTTTATGATGGTATGCAATTATTGTTTCGTACTATCCCTTTGTCATTGTTTATTGTCTGGGTTAATTAGTTTCGCTTCCGCTTGCCTTTATTGTTGGGTGTTTCGTTTGGGTCGGCGACGCGTCCTGGGACGTCGCGTTCAATGATCGACCATCGAAGGATGACCGCGCGCTCGTAGGGTGCGGGGCGTGACAACTTATCACTTCCCACACCACTCGCCAGTGTCCCACGTAAACGTACACACCTCAGGTACACTGCGATCATTCACCACATCCGGCCCGCGTACCCGTTCACGCCTCAGGCCCCAATCGCGACCTGAGCATCACACGCCCCAGGCCCGATCCCAACTCAGCCCGCGCCAAATGCGACAGCCTACATGATTGGAACCCGAGCTTATGATGCCTCAGTCCAATCCCGATCTCACCCGAGCTGATCGTGCCTCGGACCGATTCTCATTCTTGCTTTTTCAAGCCTCAGCCTGTGCCAAATGCAACAGACCTACATGATCGCGGCCCGAGTTTGTGATACTCGGCCCGATCCCAAACTCGCACTTTCGCACCTTTCACATACTTTCCCACAATCACTTGCCACACCACGATTCCTTTTTACTCATGCACACGCTCTACATGCATTTACTACACGCAACTGGCCCATCACACGTGGCCCATGCACGCATCACTTCACACATAAAACACGCTCACTCAGCAATTCACATGGCCACTGTCAATAATTAATTCAATCTGGCCCATGCGTACACCAAACATGCATAATTCTATTATATAATTACACAACTAAGCACCCAATTAAATTAACTCCATCCAGAATAATTCCAAACACGCCTAAAACACGTAAATTGCCAATTTTCTCTAACCAGATGGCGTCGGATCAATTCCGATCCTTCACGACACTTTCTCGCCATTAAATGCCGGTTCTAAAAACCCAACTTGTGTCCCGAACAAATCATCACAGCCCCGTGAACAGTAAATCACAGCTTGTGAACAGTAATTCGCAGCTTATAAACACACATATAACCATCACAATCACGAGTAATTTCAGTCACAAAGACCCTCACAATTCAGCCACGACATCACACAACAATCCGACACATATACACCACAAATCAAGCCATAAACACATTATTCCGAACCACAAATTCCAGCATGTATACTTATCGTAGGCAGCCCTTATTTACTCTCTAAATAACCCCCAAACCATCATAATTCCGGCCATAATTTCACCCAAGGTGAACTCGATAAATTCGTCCATGAAACAAATCCCAAAATTTGCCGAACACTAGTCCATTAATACCGAAATCATTATTTTTCTTCCACCAAACGACGTCAAATCGATTTCGGTCCTCCACGGGACTTTTTCATCATAATTTCTTGGTTCTAAAAATCCAACTTGCGTCCTGATCGGCCCATCACGGCCCCATGAACAGTAGATCACAGCCACTGTTATTTTCTAATTTACAATAATTAATGCCCGAATTAAATCCCAAGGCCCGCCATAAAATTTCCACTACCAATTCATACAATTCCGCACCTAATTTTATAGAGATTTTGCCCAAAATCGCCCGTCGATACCCGAAGTCCTAAATTGGGTTTAGAGCAGTACTTACCCGCGTTCTAGACTATCGCGGCTAGAACGGAAAGCAGCGGCCCTTAATCGGGAACGGCGGCAACGACGTAAGGCTCCCGGGTGGCGGCGATCAGCTTGGGTGGCGATGGCGCGGCTTACTTGGCCGTGGGTCTTGCCTCACGTGAGAGAGAGGGAGAGAAAGAGAGAGACGGCGGTTGGTGGT